TCCCCATGTCCGACCCCCGTCCCCATCCCCGCACCCGCCCTCTCCTGTTCTTGGGTCCGCCCCGCCCCAGCATCACCCCACTCCCAGCCCCGCGCCGAGGGCCACCCCGGTCCCACCAGGGGCGGGTGTGTCCCTGGGGGCGGCTCCGAGGTGGGGGAAATTTTGTTCCATGGTGTTCTATGCCACGGGGTGCAGGCCGTCGCTGCGCACCCCCACCTTTTTTTTTTCTTTTTTTTTTCGATTTCTTTTTTTTTGTGGGGGGGGGAAGGTGGTGGTGGTCTGGACCCCAGGTCGGGGGTGCCCACCCCGGGACCCCTGCAACCACGTCAGGGGTCCGCGGCCGGGGGTGGACAGCCCTGGCCCTCAAGGCCTTCCCACCCGAGAAGACCAGGTGCATGCCTGCTATTTGAAACAACAACAATAAGAACAGAAAGGAGTGCATATGCTTTTCACAGCTATGGCCTCCCATTGATTCATAATCTGCACCGTTGCTGATGATGTGATTCAATGGTGTGGATAGTGTGTTTATCATTTGGCAAAAAACAAAATGATTGGCACATCATCTACACCAGCGGACCATCAACGGATCAGCAATGGAACAGAAGCTGCAGTTCAACTCATCACCCACATCAACGGATCAGTAACATGATCAGCAATGGACCATCCATCCACACATTGGGCCTCGCTCCACTACTCACCACATGTGCAAAATGAGAATGAATCATCCACTAGAACCTGGAAAGATACTCCGCCATATTTTTTGTCTTTCGAGTAGTGGAGCGAGGCCCATCATCCACACCAACGGAACAGCAGCGGAAAAGCAGTGGAACAGCGACTGGCTCAGCGACAGTGCAGATCTCACTATGATAGGCTGAAATAGGAAAGGAATATAGGAGTTATGGTAGAATAAGAAGTGGAGTGTACATGGAAAAGGAAGCAAACAGTAATAGGTCTTCAAGCCCAGCCCCCTCATATATAATGATGACTGGAAACCCCTGCGAGACCCATCGCTGAGTTGTCTGATATGGTGCCGAACGAGTCCGGTGCAATAAATTGGGGCTATCGGCCATTCAGCTGTGCTCCTTGCACTCTGGATGCTGGTGGTTCAGAAGGGGGGGGGGGGGGGGGGGGGGGAGGGAGGGGGTTGCTGTTTGTCCAGCAGCAGAAGGATAAATGCGAAGGGGAATGACAAACCACCCACCTTATCAAAAATGTTCCCTCTTCCAGACAACTCGCTAACAACTGACCGCATCGAGTTCCCCACTAGACAAGGGTCCATATGATTATAGCTCTCTGGCATCTGCAGTCACCCAGGGACAATTACACAACAGCATCCCCCAGATACATCAGATAAGTCCACTTGAGTCAACTCGGTTAGTACACATTGCTTCGCACTCTAAGACATTGTAACTAGATAGATTGATAGGTAGATAGACGGATTGGATAGATGGATGGATAGATAGATATGTCAGTTAGATTAGATTAGATAGATAGATAGATAGACAGATAGATAGATAGATAGAGAGAGAGAGAGAGAGAGAGAGAGAGAGAGAGAGAGAGAGAGAGAGATTAGATTAGATAGATCGATAGGTAGATAGATAGATAGGTAGGCAGATAGATTGACGGATAGATACATAGATCGATCGATAGACAGATACAGATTAGAAAAACTATGTAAGATAAATCGATGAGATAGACTAAACAGGTTGGATGGAATTTTTTTCATAGATCGATTCGATCGATTAGGTGAAGATTAGACGGAAAAAATAGAAAGAAAGAAAAGAAAGAAAGATAGGCAGATGGATATATATATATATATATATATATATATATTGTAGATAGATAGATAGATAGATAGATAGATAGATATCGAGAGAGAGAGAGCAAACAGACAGATAGATAGATAGATAGATAGATAGATAAATAGATTGGCAGATTGTACAGATTAGATAGACGAGATACATAGCTAGATTAGCTAGACAGTTGGATAGACAGCTAGATAGATAGCTAGATAGACAGCTAGATAGATAGCTAGATAGATAGCTAGATATAGATATAGATATTGCAGCATCTGTTTGCCATTTACATCATGACAGATCAGAACTCTGCCAGTTCATAGCGTTCTGGATCACACTCATTTGCAGGCACACAAAGAAAGGTAGGATCCATAAATGGGTAAATTGGATGCTTTGTTCAAGCACCAGTACATGCCAGCTATCGGCCGCGGGCCCCTTTCGGAGGCTGCCCATCGCCGATTCACTTTATCCATGGCGCTCGGCCTCCTCAATTTTTGGAGAGGCTCAAAACGTGTTCTCCAGTTGCCCGGGGTCATGTACTGTACTGGTGGTTTAAGAGGTCGCCAAACCAGGCATAGCATGTTTCGTTAAGACATCGCCAACCATATACAAGTGCACAACCATGTAACCATGCACAATGGACTCGACACGGTCAACAACTACACACAGAGCAGGCTTTCAACGACTTCACACAGAGCAGGCTTTCTTTTCCAGTTGCTCTTTCTTCTAACTTGGAAGTTTGAGAGAACATTTCATGAATTTTGAATTTTTATCATATGATGAGATGAGATTTTGCATCAAATGAATATCCATGTACTGTTCCAATTTCCAACAACAGCAAAAGTGCAAGCCTCCTCACATTCCCGTCAGATTAATAAACACTCTCGAGTCTCAAGATTCTCAACTGAATATCCATGTGGCATGTACCTTTCCAAGAACAGTTTTAATTTGTAATCTGTTAACACAACTTAACAGTGTTAAGCCTCACATTCACGTATCCAGTGATCAGATAAGGCTTGTGTTTTTTTTTGTTTTTTTTTGTCGTCTAAAAAGAAGGACGTCTTCTCGTCATCGGGGGACAGCTATATATTTTTTTCTTTCATATAGACACCTTCTCAGCACGGGACGCTAGGGGTTATGGGTTGGATTCCGGGCCTCCCGACATTCTCCCTAGTGGATGCCAACCATCTACCCGACTCTGCTCTGCGCGGGAAGCAGTGCCCCTACTCCTAACACCTGACATGAGCTGGAAAGCCACGGCTGCTTCCACAACCAGCAAGGAGGCCCAAGCCAATTATCTCCACTGGTGAACCCCAAGTGTATCACAAGGGGCCGTGGGGAATCGCATGGACGACGAGGGGAATCGAACCCATGACCTCCTGAATACCACTTACATGCTCAGATAAGATTTGTGTTATTTATTACTGACTTAAAATATAAATTTTGAATTTGTCCTTGACAGATTTCAAATTAAAACTCACACACGTACTGCATTCTTTTTGGGATCGTCTGTGAAAAAAGCCACATTACCGGTAGGTAGTTGCGCAAAGATGTGTGCACTTTGCTTGCCAACCCCCTAATTCATCGTACCTAGTGCGCCGCACAAGATGCACACTTGCCAATGATCTCATGCCATTGCATCGATATCGTATGCCGAATAAAAAAAAACAAAAAAACAAAAACGGACTGCTGCTGCTGGTAATCTGTCATTCATTCTCCGAGTTGGCCCTGTGCTCTTCCACCTTTCTCAAGTCAACCCTGGGGCCTGTGACAGTGTACATCACTCTGTGTTTCTGTTCCTGTTGCTTTTGAAATTTGAAGACTTTACCATCTGTTTATGATGTATTTCTAATTTTCTACTATGTCACCCGTTTTCTTTTTCACCTTATTATACCAACTTCAAGTCTTCAACATATTATCAGATTTCAGTGCCACTTCAATAGAAAATGTAGATGCAGTTCGCGATGCGAACATACATATATCGCAGCCCCTCGTTTTGTCCTCTTATCCTACGCTACCAGAGTGGCCCGGGACTACTTGCCCGCCGGCGGGCCAAAATAAATAAATAAATAACAACTTTGAACTTTATTAAAGTTTATTTTCTATTTGTATTCGGTAAAGAATTTCAATCCGACCCTGAGGCAAAAGTTGTTCAGTTTATTTTTCTGCATAACGTAGGGTTTTTTTTTCAGTTTTTCGTTGTTTTTTTTTTCTTTTCTTTTCTTTTCTTCTTTTTTTTTTTTTTTTTTTTTTTTTGGCTGGAACCTACTTTGCCCCTTGCACGGCCGGGTGCCCGGGCAAACAAGATCACCCGGGCGGCCCCGCTAGTAGCCTAGCTTTAACCCCCCAATGCCTGCGGTTTACCAGGCAGTTCTGTTTGACAATATATATCGTCACATGATGTACATCTATCTATGTTCATCTACGTATATCGTCTACTTATATATATAATATATGTATATACTATATATTACATACTATATATCGTCACAAACAGAACTGCCCGGTAAACCGCAGGCAGAGAGAGAGAGAAGAGGACAACAAACGAGGGGCTGTATATATATAATATATGTATATACTAGATACTATATATCCATACGTTACATACGAAACAGTTTGTCACAGCCCCTCACTTGTTGTCCTCTTCTACCTCCCTCTCTGCCTGCGGTTTACCGAGCAGCTCGGTCTGACGATATATATATATATATGATCGATATAAGAGCGGGAAACGTAAATATATTTCAGTCCACCATTCTTCCTACTGGCAGATTCTTTTGGAGATACCAAATCTTGGTCCTCTTCTGGTTCAGTACTATAATTACCATAACAGATTCTTTTGGAGATACCAAATCTTGGTCCTCTTCTGGTTCAGTACTATAATCCATAACAGATTCTTTTTCCGATTTCCCACAAGTTCGATTCTTCCTACGTGATTTACTTTTTACTTTTCGGTGATTGATTGTCGCCACCTCTCTTCCCTCGGTTCAGTCGCCTCTCTTCCCTCGGTTCAGTCGCCCTGAGATCTCAGGTCGTACGTAGATCTCTGAGTTCAGTCGATTGATAGCAAGGAAGATACAGGCGGTACCATTCCAAAAACAGAAAAATGCGCTCTTATCAATCCTCAGAGGAGTCACTGACAAATAAAAAAAAAACAGAAAAAAAAGACAAATTAGGAAAACGCATTGCACGTGCGGTATCAGCAAGAATAAGCCAGCAAAAGCACACACCAGAACCCCACCTGTGACGCCTAGGGGGATTTTTCTCAATGAAGATCGAAGGAAAACAAAACAAAACAAAATAAAAAAGGACAGGTGGAATAGGTCACTGATCACCGTACGGGTTATTGAGGAAGAGCTGAATCTGCACTGCAAACAAAGGCAAAAACATTTTTGTGTGAACAAATCCGTTAGAGGATCACGAAACTGAGTTTCACAAAGCGAATAAAGTGCTGCCTTCAGTTGTTCACTTCAAGCGTTGACTTCAAGCGTTGAATTCAAGCGTTGACTGCAAGCGTAACAAGAACTTGAAGCGTTGACTCTAGCATTGACTTGAAGCGTTGACTTCAAGTGTTGACTTCAAGAGTTCACTTCAGGTGTTGACTTCAAGTGTTGACTTCAAGTGTTGACTTCAAGCGTTGACTATTTAAAAGAAAACAAGAACTTCAAATTGACTTTAAGCATTGACTAGTTAACAGAAAACAGAAAGAACTCGATTGGTCGAATTGGCAAGTTTCCGCTGTAATCCCAAAAGAAGATAAACATTTTCATTTTTAAGTACTCGTTATCATCATCATCATCATCATACTATAAAAGTGGCCAAATGCCCCGAAGGGTCACAAACAGCCCAAACGGCCGCAAATGGCCCGAACAAGGGCACCGAATACGCCGAAGGCACCACCCCAAAGGTCCCGAAGAAGGGCCTAATAGTCCGCAAATCCTCCGAATTCCTTTAAGGGAAAACAAAAAGCTAAGATAAACTGCAGCCTCAGTGCCAATTCGACAGAAGGATGACTCACGGACTATCTATTTTTTCCACTCAGTGACACCTGGACAGAAGGATGAATGCACTGTAACAAACCCATTAAAGCATTTTTGAAGGATCAATAATGACAAAGAAACTGGATGAAGTAGCCAATCAATCAATCAATTAATCAATCAATCCGTCGATGACAAACGGGGGAGAATGAAACTCCCTTTCCCCAATCTGTTATGAAGGAGCGATCAAAGCTCTCTATGAACGATACCCACAGACGGGCAACGACACGCGGAGCGACGATACCCACAGACGGGCAACGACACGTGGAGCGGGGAATAAACCTATTCATTGAGAAATTGCACAATGCCTTCTGAAGGACGAAGAGAGCTTCGAGCTAACTAGACCGTGCAAGGCAAAAAAAAAAAAAAGGGGGGAAACAAAAAACCCTACGACCGACTTTTTTGGAACAGCTGGTGGACGGATAGGTAGAGTTCGTCGTCATTGTCGTAACGAACACAAGTTGCTGTGTTCCCTCTACACATCCCGCCGCACCTCTCCCTCCACTACAACAAGTCGAATTCCAAACGGATGATTATTAAACTCGTTATTCTCTCTCTCTCTCTCTCTCTCTCTCTCTCTCTCTCTCTCTCTCTCTCTCTCTCTCTCTCTCTCTCTCTCTCTCTCCACTACCACGGAGAGTCGCATCCCACATTGTTTATTATTGAACTCATTATTCTCTCTCTCTCTCTCTCTCTCTCTCTCTCTCTCTCTCTCTCTCTCTCTCTCTCTTCTCGGAGAAGAGACGGCAGAAATGAAATGGTCCATCAGCAGCGCTTCGCGTCTTTGCATGAAAAACCGAGAATCAACAATCTCAACAAAGTAGTTGAACAAATCCTATACACATCATCCCTCCCTCCTCTCTGCGAATGACTGTGTGCGTGAGGGAGAAAGAGGGAGAGGAAATAATTTTTGAATGGGGGAGGGAGGAGGGAGGAGGGAGGAGGGAAGGAAACAGTTGAGGATAACGACCTCTGGGGTTGCAAATACGAGGCGGAGCCCACTTTGCGGGCCTTACGCGTTTCGAGGAGCGGCGGAAAGGACCTTGAGGGAAGATGGGGGGGCAGCAAAGGGGTGGATGGACGGCGGGAAGAGGCGGCGGAGGCAAGGTTTTTTTTTATCACATCGACGCGCTTGCCATTGGCACGCTTTCACGATCTGAGCCCTTCGATGACCCAAGCAGCATACAGATCCTGCGAGGCCTTGACGGCCTTCACTGCCTCCGTCGAGTCCAGGAATTCGTTGACGTCAACCTGCTTGTTCTCGTTCTTCTTGTAATCTTCAAAGAACCGTCGGATCTCCGCTAATCGGTGCGGTGCGAGCTCCCTAATGTCCGTGTAATGCCTGAACTCCGGGTCATCGGCACAGACGGCGATGATCTTGTCATCCTTCTCCCCTTGGTCGATCATAGGCATCAAGCCGATGGCTTTCGCTCTCAGGAAGCAACCTGGAATTACGGGCTCCTGCATAAGGACAAGGACGTCCATGGGGTCGTCGTCTTCGCAAAGAGTGCGCGGGATGAACCCGTAGTTGTGCGGGTACACAACCGAAGAGTACAACACCCTGTCTACCTTAATTAGACCCGTCTTCTTGTCCAGTTCATACTTGACTTTGCCGCCCTTGCCGATCTCGATCACCACGTTGAAGATCGACGGCGCGTCGGGACCGATTTCCAAATCATGCCAAGGATGCGCAGCCACAGAGCGATTGATACTGAAATTGCTGAAAAGCGGCTTAACACCATTCACACCATCGGCACCATTGACACCATTGACACCATTGGTCCCATTGGCACCATCAGTATAAGAAGAAAGCACAGACTTGGCCATTATAGCTGATCGGTGGTTCTTCTTGTTGATCAGATACGACGACGAGCCTTCGCGCGAGAAATGGGACGCACTAGGAGAAGTATGAGAAGTACGAGAAGTGGGAGAAGTAGGAGAAGTAGGAGAAGTAGGAGAAGCGAACGCGGAAGGAGGTGGAGTAGATCGCAATGTCGACCTCGCTGGGGAGCAGCTCAGGTCAAGTTGATTGAGCTTCTGCGACAAAGTAACTCCTCTGCCTCCTCCTCCTCTTCCTCCTCTTCCTCCTCCTCCTCCTCCTCCTCCTGCTGCTCCTCCTGCAGCTGCTGAGTTGACCAGCTTGGCGTGAACGTTGGAAGCTGCAGTTGGCGATGGAGATGAGGAGGAAGGACGAGGGGAACACGTGGCAGGACGACGGCTCGCAGGCGGGACAGATCGCGCACAGCGAGCTTCGTCTAAACCACCTCCCTCCCTCTGCTTCTCCCTCCACAATCTGCGCCTGATTGGATTGCCCTTACGTCCGCTCACGCGGAACAGCAGTTGCCTCCGCCGGCAGCGATCCTCTTCTCTCCCCTCCAGCTTGGCCAGAGATAGCAAGTCCCAACCAAGTCTGTTATTATAACCTCGACGCCTTCCCTCCGCGTAGCTCAGCGTCAGACCAGACACGTGTCAGCCAGTGAGCGGCCGATTGTCCCCACCCACGTCAGACAATGCCCCGCACAAGCTAGCTATGGCAGACGACCGGTCCAGTGTGCATATCCCCCGAATCAGCTGCCAAACACGGCGCACTCAACGTCGAGAGGCTCGAAACCGCAAAAGTGAAAAATGAAATTAGCTCCACCTGATCGCCGTCTCATGTCATTCGTCAGCGGACGGCTAGCGCGGAGCTTGTAGCCTTCGCCCTCCAATCAACCTCCAACACCACAGCACAACCGGCTGCAGCTCTTCTCGTCCTCCAATCAACCTCCCACAGCACAGCACAGCAGGCTGCGGCTCTCTCTCTCTCTCTCTCTCTCTCTCTCTCTCTCTCTCTCTCTCTCTCTCTCTCTCTGTGTGTGTGTGTGTGTGTGTGTGTGTGTGTGTGTACGTGTGTGCGTACGTGTGTGTGTGTGTGTGCTGACGGATGGACCGCTCACACAGGTTAGCTGGCTGTTTGGCCGCCTGACCCTCTTCTGCCGTTGCAGCCGCCACTACCCACGAAAGGCTCTCTGCCTTTTGACTTGATGAGCATCTCTGCGTTGTCATATTCGCTGAACACAGCTTTTTGTACGTGCGCACTTGTGCGTGTGTGCGTGTGTGCGTGTGTGTGTGTGTGTGTGTGTGTGAGAGAGAGAGAGAGAGAGAGAGAGAGAGAGAGAGAGAGAGAGAGAGAGAGTTCCGCTCTGCTCCCTGCAATGAGGTCGAACTCACAGTACGTAGTCCTCTTTCGACGACTGATCTCTGGACGTAATTGTGATCAGATACATCCAAGATCGGCCGTAGTTGCGGTCAGATTCATCTAGAAAAGTATGCCAGCGTGAGCATCCTCTGATGCCAGCCTCTCCACTCCCCTCCCCTCCTGTCCTCCTATCCTTCTGTGTTCGCCTTTTCCCTTTTTTCTGCTTTTTTTTCTTTTTTCTTTTTTTTTTGTCTTGCTCGCCGCCCGTTCAGTCCGTCAAGTTGGTCAGTCTCCACGACCACGCTCTCCTCTGAATTGTATTTCAAAAAACAAAAACAAAAGAAAACAAATTGTATTTCACGGGCAGTCGCACAGAACGCCCCTGGACGGCAGGCACTTCGCGGCTCGCGGGAGTTTCGCAGTCAGGCCACTTTCGAAAACGCTCTGAACGTGATTGCGGCAAGATTCGTCCAGGCCGGGACATAATTCCAGTCAGATACATTTAGAAAGTCGTACTCTCAGTATGCACTCAGGCCGCTTCGTTGCCGCTTTGAAGAGCCTCCACCACTTCCGCGAGGCTCGGACGGCCAAGAGCACGCGGGGCCTCATCCACATTTTCTTTTTTGGACCATTTCTCGATTTATTCGTGTCATCCTTGGTTATAGACCATCCACCTTTGATTACAGACATACTTTTTTTTTTTTTTTTTTAATGGTCCGATGGACCGCGGATCAGATACTAAACTGATCAGAACAGACAATGATCTTAGCCAAAAAAAAACAAAAAAAGACCACGCGGTGCAGGTAGTGAAGAATATAGAGGGAGAAAAAAAAAAAAAAAAAAAAAACGGTGACGGGTTGAGTCCAACGACGGGTAGGCGTGTTGAGTTTTCTCAACGCCGGAATCTGGACGTTCTGGCGGACACGTGCAGAAAAATGGTGTTGAGTTTCCTCAACTGCACCTCTTGACAAACACGTCCAGATTCGGGGGTTGAGGAAACTCAACGCTACTCGTGAGACCTGGGAAAAGGCATCCGATTATCACTTTTTTTCCCTTTTCCTTTTCCTTTTTTTTTTAAGAAAAACTAACCTATGTTCTACTCCCAATTTCACCTTTTCACTATCTACCGCTGCAAGGGTATGCATGTTGCCCCCCGCCCTAATCTGCAAGCATAGCTACCTCTCTCAGGGTACCCATGTTGCCCCCCGCCCTACAGTCTCCCCACGAATGACCGTACGAATACAACGTACGGTCATTACAGCTGTATAATGACCGTACGTTCTATTCGGGGGAAGAAGGTAATCGGAACCGCACCAATCCCGGAAACGGGAAAAAAAAAGAAGCTTCTTTTTTTTTCTATAACCGAAATTGCACTTTTATTAACAGGGCCCAGTGCCCAAGGCAATTACATGATCAAGATAGGCCCCCCAACACCTTTCTCGGCCTTTTTTCCTTTTTTCAAATGTGCCCGATGGACCACGGATCATATACTAAACTGATCAGAACAGATACTACACTTGGCGCCTCGCTGCACTACTCTTGAAATGCACAAAAGACTAAAATCATGTCGCTGTATCTTTCCATGTTCTAGCGGAAGATTCACTCTCGTTTTGCACCTTTCAAGAGTAGTGCAGCGAAAGGCCGAGAAAAGAGATCTAGTGTAGGATCTGTTCTGATCAATTTAATATTTGATCCCTGGTCAATCGGGACGGGGAAAAAAAAAAAAAAAAAAAAAGACAATGGGTTGTCGGACGGCGTCGCGTCTCTTCGCGGGGGAGCGAAGCCGCCTTCCCTTGAATACGATGGGCAGTCACTATCGCTGAATCTGGACTGAAATTGCGCCAGCCAGAATAACCGCACGTCCTATTCGGGGGAGGACGTGTACTGCCAAACGCCGTCAGAAGCCGTGCGACACGCCGGCGTTTGACGGTCAGGCGGCTTCGCTGCCTCTCGCAGAGACGCCACGAGGTAGGGAGATGTGCGAAGCCTTGTTTTTTTTTTTGGTTTTTTTTTTTTGGTTTTTGGTTTTTGGGACCTTTTTTTTGTTTTGTTTTTTTTTAACTTTTGGACCATTTCTCGATTTATGCGTGTCATCCTTGACACGGACTGCGGAAACGTTTTTCGCCATATTCAGTTTTTCTCCTTTCTCTTTCAACGACACTATTTACCTCAAAGTCTTCTCTCACTCTCAATGCAGCACTGGGTCATTTTGTTCTCTTGCTCACTACTTTTCGTTGAATTTTCGGTAACAAACAGTGTTACCTGTTCATTACTTAGTTTTGGTTTCCTGTACTTTTGGTTGTTTGCTGAGGTTGGATAGGTTTATCTTTCTGTACTGTGGTTCAACTTGCATAATAGTTTTGTGCTCTGGTCGCTCTGTGACTTCCCGCTGTAAATAGATGAATTTGAAGCTTTTGTGATTTAGGACTTCTGATTACTGCTTAATTTTTTTGGCTGACTAATGAATAGATAGGATAGTGAGTAGATACTTCTCCTCTTTCCCTCTTTCTTCTCTTTGTGACTCCAGATATGGGCTTGGCCGGTGATGCCTCACTCATAAATTGGAGCCGCTCGCTCATATGTGTGGGACGCCGGGCCGGTTTAAAAAAAAAAAAAAAGGGGAACCCTGCAAGCATAGCGACCTACCTACCTAGTACCACTTCCTAAGCCTATACAGGGGACCCTGGGCAAGCATAGCTACTTGGGCCCCCCTGCTTCAGCTGTGGTCAGGGAGTAGGGTGGGGCTGCTGGTGAGGGGGGGTGGCTAACCCAAAGACTCAGCATTTTGCCAGAAGCTGCACCTCCCATCTACTTCCCTGGCCCTCGACAAGTGACAGCAGTGTCTGTGGCCAGCACTCTCCCACATACCTCACACAACCCACACACACACACAAGCATGTGACGCCCAACCTCACGCCCAGTGCGACTTCCTGATCGGAGTGGGATGGGGCCCCGAAAGTGCGAAAAGGGGTGTGCGAAGGATTTTTGGGGATTGGGGATGGAGTCCCAGGTCGGAACTGAGATCTCCTGTGGCCAGTTTCAGGGGTAGAAGTGCAAGTGTCTTCTGGCTCAGAGTTGGGGCGATGATCGATCGTGCGGCCTGGGCCGGGGTGGGGTGCTACGGGTGTCTCTGTGGGAGTGCTCGTATCGCTGTCGGCCGTCGCAAGTCTCGGGGTCCGGCGAAGACAAGCTGGGTTCTCGTCGCTCTGTCCTGGGATGGGCTCGTTGCGTGACCCTCGCCTGCCGATACTCACCGGGCTGCCGACACTCCGAGCACAGCGGACTGGGCCAGAACCGGGCTATGGAATCCCAGGGGACCACGAGTAACCGGTGGTAAGGGAGGACGGTATAGTAGGGAGGGAAGTCAGTGGTGATGGCAATGAAGCCTGGGGTTAGAAGATATTGCTGGTTTCGACTGTCGGGATAATCGGGAATCCGCGGGTCTTGGATGATTGCCAGCTGGAAGTCGCCCCTGCACAGTCGCTCATTTTCAGTCCGGCAAGGGTATTCAAGGGGCTCAGGGTTTCGTAGGTGGCGATGTTGTCGGATCCGCTGTCGGGAGATCTGTTCCCTCTCCCAATACGCTCGGTATTCTGGGGCCCTCAGGCTTTCGCGGTCGGTGATCCAGAAAGGAGAATCTATCGCCATGTCTCGTTCAAACAAATTCATGCACACACATCTTCCTACGGGGCGAGATCGTAGCTGGCTTTTGCAGGCGCGAGTGCAGATGGCAAGTCCGCGGACGGCTGCTGTCTTACACGTGCGTGCGCGCCGGCCAGTTGGTCAAATCCTAAATTGTGCAAATAATCAAAGAGCGATCTGGCAGCGTACCGGCTCAACCATGCAGCTAGTTCCCTCAGGCTATCAATCTCATTCCGTTTTGGACATTCTCAAAGCATACACACCCAGCGGTCCCCGTATGGCATCGGGACCTTAATTTGTCCCGACCCGTATCGCAGGTGAGGATTCCATCATTCACATCGAGATCTATCGTGCTAAGTCCATTCGGGGTTGCGGGTCGGCCTCGTGGGTGTGCGTGTAAGTCGCGCTTGTCAGATCGCACTTACACAGGGACTCGCGGGGTTGGTCCGCTGTGGATCGATCTATCAGCCAATCACCTATGCAAAAGAAGGTTCATGTAATCATACAATAATCCCCCAGCCATTTTTGTTCGAGCAAAAAGCAGTTATGTGGCCATCAGAGGGAAAATCCCTCTCCTGGATACGCAACACAACTCCCTTTGATTCAAAAAAAATGACATGGCCTGTGGATATCTCATCGAAGCACCGTAACAGCATCAAACTTATTTCATCTGCTAATCATCAAAGTGGGGATAGATCGGCGCTGCAAGCGCAACAGAAAAATTCCGATGACACGCAAGAAAAACAAAGAAAACTGTAAAAGAAACCAAAATTCCGAGAGACCTCGGGGGCTCGTCATTAGTCGCGCCAAAAATCTCAGTTCCCCCCTTTTACTCTCAGCAGAGCAAGAAAGAACCATCGCCAACCGTTATTCATCGCGCCCAACGGGGCGCGCACACTCAACCGTCTGCCCCGGGCCTGTCCCATCACCGCCGAAAGGGAAGAAGCGAAGCGAAGGAAAAGCAAAAAGCGAGGACACCGATGCAATTTTCCCGCTGATCCCACTTCCCGTAATTTGCCCAACCCTCCCATCTCAGGACCCCTCATTGTCATCGCGCAGAAAGTCGCACGGCACAGAAAGTGGTTTGTTACAAGCACGCCCGTGATGGCCAAAGACCTTACCTCTTATGTTGGTTGGCACCAAGAATGTTGTAGGGGGTAGTGGGATTGAGCCCTCGACCTCCTGAATGCGACTTGCATGCCTAACCAACTGAGTTGGGCCTATTTCACAAGCTACTTACCACTACCCCTAAGGTTTTATACAAGTGACCCCTGCAAGCATAGCTACGTCTCACGTTGAAGGTAATATTGCATGTTGCCCCTTTGCAAAGGGGAAAAAGGAAAGTGTAAAGGTGCACTCTCGCCATTTCTCAAATTTGGCGAGTGTCCGCAGCGGGTCAAAGGTGCGTTTTATGCCCTTGAGACCTTCAACATCAATTCAACTTTCAACGTCGGTGTTCGTTCGAGAGGGTGGGCAATTTTCAGGTGAGGGTTTAGCAAGGGGCGGGGCATGCGAAGGGCCAGTAGCTACCCATAGGAGGCTGAGGAGGCCGCAGTCCTTGAGTTGGACATTTCAAAATCGAAACGGCCTGGGAGGTTGAGGAGACCGCGGTCCTTGAGTTTTTAATATTTTAAAATCAAAACGGTGTGTGTCCACTTTTCGTGAATAGATGAGCACTTCGAATAGAACATGCGTGCGTTGTATCATGAGGGCACGAGTGCGCAGCCCGTAGTTTGTTTGATGATGCGGTTGGGGAGGCGTTGTCGAGCGCATCGGCTCCCGCCTTTTCGCAAAGGCGAAAGCCCTCCCGGCCATGTCATGCACGAGTAAAACAAAACAAAAGGAGAGACAAAGTCGGGAACGACGCTAAACTAATCCCGCAAGCCACCGAGACGGTCGTGGTTGTGTCCTCCCTTTGCCGCTCTCGCCGGGTGCGCCAGCTGTACATCTCATAGTCCCCTACGACAGGATAGGTTCCCGCGGGGCATGAGCTTTCCTTCCCTAAGGGGCTGTCACCACCCTTAGGGGAGTATCCCTACCGAGCTACTAACCCACATGCAAAAGCTTTTAGATGCAATCACAGAGGTAGGTCAGCCGAGGGCGTTTGCTCGCTCGTTGTAGTATAGATACGCTTGGTTAACGCCAAGTGGACCTGAGCGCCACCCATTCCTAGGGCGCTGATCTCCTAGGTACGAAGCGGACGTCGGTCGACTAGGACGGTCTCAACCAAGCGCGAAACCCAAAATTAATCCTAGTCCCTTAGTCACACTGTCAAACGGAAGTTAAACATCCGCAATATATCAAAGAAATCGACCATCGTCGACAGGAACATACCCAATCTGAAATGATAACTAAGAGAATCAAAATCTTCATCTGATACATCCAATATCACAAGATCAAAAATAAAATTCGACCACCCTGGGGTCGAACTCCACAAAATAGTCATACAACCGCCAACAAGGAGTTGGCTACCAACAATAGCATTGATGCAACCGACAAGGTAGTCAGCTGCCTTAGTTTTGACTTGATGAGACGCGCTGCCAAAGTCATTCATTCCAGCCTACCGCAGACCTAAGATTCGACACACATACCTGTCTTCTTCCTTTCTCAATCTTCTTGTTGACAAGCTTCTTTGCGGATGATTCTTTATCAAGGGCATTGCTTGAAGTGTTGCATGCCTCTCCCTCTAGGAAGTGGTCAGGGGTACTCCTCCTCCTCGTCCGAGCACAAGACTCGGATCTCAGAAGTTGGGCCGTCTCCACCGAATCGGCAAGTACCCCTCCGTAGAACGGTCCACTCCGGGTCGATAACAGGGCCGACTCCTGAAGCAACGAACCCCCGCCCCAGATGCTTCCTAGAGATAGAAGATGTGTCCACTGCAAGTAGCTTTCATATATATTTTTTTATTTCTCCTGAATTCAGGGTAGCTTTGACGAAAAAAATAAAATCAGAGGAGATAAAGACTGAGAATCATTTGGACAAGTACATGTAGATAAGGTCTTTCGGGATAGAACGGGGTAATCCTAGGGAAAAGACTAAGTCCGTTTGACCTTGTTCTGCCTAATTTCAATCGGATTCATTCTACGACACACGTTGAATATTTTTTTCCAAAACAACAAGTCTTTTTGACAAGCAGGCAGGTAAGAGGTAGAAAGAAGACAATTTTTTCATCTTCCCGAATGGGCATAATCAATCTCCTTTGCAAGCATCCTTCTACCTACCTGCACACCAAGCTAAGCAACAAGTTCAAAATAAGATAGTACCATCCCAAACTCAAGTCAGACTTTCCATTCACATGCATGACTCACACAACTTTCTCTACCTTTTCTTTCGAACATTCAAACGAACAGGGTCAAGCAAAGTATGGGTTCACACAGGTGTGGAGAGAAGTCTGAGTCATTCTACTAACTGACCTCGAGTGAAGTTTGGTCCGGCCCACTCAAGAAAACCGGGTAATACTCCAATCAGAAGAAAATAATCGCCATTGAATATGAAAATATGCGGTTCACATGAAAATACGCAGCTCACAACTTCACAAGTTGTGGTCGTTTCACTGAACGACGGTCCGCCGCCTTCTCTAAGTGCTTGATCACACCAAGGTTGGGTCCACTGAGATGCCTGAATGACCCTCAAAGAGGGTTCTCCCATGATTCAAAACCGTGTTGCCTCAACATCCTGGACAGTCTCAACGTAGTCCCTACTGCACCACGTCCTCCAAGGACACTTCCCAACCAAATGCAAGTCGATGTCGCCTCAATTCACCGTGCCCGCTTACAATAACCATGCCATCATGCCAGTCCCAATCACAACAACCAGTCCCACCTAGTCCCAAAATGGTCCCAGATGGTCTTAATGCAATCCCATACTATCGCCGCAATACTAGGTAGTTCAGAACTCAAAACCTCTAGCTCCGCATTTCGCAAAAAAAAAATAAAGGTGATTCCGACTGAAAATTGTTGTGCTGCAAGCCCCCCAAAAATAAGGATGTCCTTCCAGCGCAGACTGCGAGTGCCGCAACTCCAATAATTTTTGTTGTGTGCACTCACTCTGCGATCTCTTCATGCCGCCGGCCCATGCACCACTGTCACACAATTCCCAACCATGCACCAGCGTTAGCCCAACCTCTAGGCCACACTGAAATCCACCAACCGCCGCGCACCACAAAATAACGCGAACCACTGCATGTTGCGCCATCAAAACCCAATACCATGACTGCCCCGCAACACCACCGCTAGATCACACACAAAAATCTGCCTCCACTGTGACGCAGAAGACCCGCAGCATCTTCCCTCACAATAGTGTTGCCGACGTACCATCAGCATAACCCCCAAAAAAATAACGTCGGTACCACTGCCAATCTCGGCAGCATGATCCCACCAAAAAATGTTGCTGCCTCTGTGCCCAAAAAAATGGCAGCACTTCCCCACTGACAACGTCGCTGCCGCCGTGCCAAAAACAAACGGCAACACTTCTTCCCTGACAACGTTGCTGCCGCGCTGCAAAACCGGCAGCGCTTCTGCACCACTGCCGCTAACCAGTGCAGCCGCCGCAAAAACCCGGCAGCGCTTCCTCGTCACTGCCAAAACAATCACAATTGCGCCGAAAAAATTCGGCAGCGTTCTCGCAGCACTGCCAAAATTCAAAGTTGCCGCCAAAAAAATCCGGCAGCGCTCCCGCAGTATTGCCGAAAATACATTGCTGTTGCCGTGCAAAACGGGCAGAGCCTCCCCTGCACCGCTTGCCGAAGACCTGCCGCCGCCGTGCAAAACGGGCAGTCTCCCCTGCACCGCTTGCCGAAGACCTGCCGCCACCCTGCAAAACGGGCAGAGTCTCCCCTGCACCGCAACAAAAATAGCTGCCGCCGCCGCACTGTGCAGGCAGCACGTTCCCTACATTTCACCAAATGAGGTGGTGGCTATGGCAGCCTCCACCCCCACGCTCACTGCAGTCCTCCACTCTACTCCACCTCTCACGCACTGCCTCTCAGCACTTCAGCAGCATAATGCTGCTCTCCACTCCACACTCAATCAGAATGTGGGCAGCACCTCAACTGAGTGAGGATGCTGCTGGCCAGCCCTGCTTTTATAGCTGGGCTGGTGGGCAGCCACTTGGGGCTCAGCCAAAAAACGGGGCTGGGCCTAGCCCTCGATCGACGAACTTCGATCGAGGGCTGGGAATCTTGATGTTACACTAGGAACATCAAGTCCCAGGCTTTGGCTATGCATCCGGCCGCTACCCCAATGGAGCTCACTTCCTTTAAATAAATTGTAAAATAAAGTCTCAACTTTATCACTTGCGGTATGAGCGGTTCAGCTACTCGTGGTCCGCATCACATCTGACCATAAAGTTGAACGATAAAGATTGTAGGACCGTGGCCAAAACTTACCACAACCACGTAGCGAGCCCAAACCGCCGAGCCTGTCGACGACCCCTCGCTGGCAGTCCGGAGGGAGAAAGAACATCCATGGTGGCAGAAACCTACTCGAGTTAACCCATCCGCCATCTCACGTAGCCCGCTGTTAGAATCTTCACCTAGAGCAGACCTAAGGACAATATTCCCAAGGAAACGAAAGCATCACCACACCATTTCCTCCCCGTCTCATCGCACGTCCCTCTCCTCACGCAGCGATAGTGAAGGTAGAAACGTACCACCATCGCCAATGCACAACCACCCTCATCCCATGCAGCTGCCATCCAAGTATCGTCGTGTGCAGCACTGCGCCTCTCTCTCTCTCTCTCTCTCTCTCTCTCTCTCTCTCTCTCTCTCTCTCTCTCTCTCTCTCTCTCTCTCTCTCTCTC